AAATGTGCTGGGAGATAAAGCAAATCCATGAATGGTAGAGAAGATCAACAGAAAGAACCTGGGTCCTTGAGTGTATCTCTGATACGAAGCCCATCTCTCACTTTAATAAAAAAAAATAAGTTTTTATTGATTTTAGAGAGAGAGAGAAAGGGAGAGGGAGAGAGAAACCTCGATGTGAGAGAGAATCATTGATCATTGCCTCCTGCATGCACCCTGACCAGGGATCAAACCCCCATCTTGGGTATGTGCCCTGACAGGGAATTGAACCAGTGACCATTTGGTGTACAGGACAACACTCAACCAACTGAGCCACACCAGCCAGGCCACACACCTGTACCATTTGAAGATAAGTTACAAAACATATCACCTTGAAGAAACTAAGGCGTTTCAACTTGGCTTCTTAGAATGAGTTAGATTTAGAACCACAATGTTTGACTCCTAAAACAACACCATTTACCAAAGTAAATATAAAGGGAATTTAAGGCACTTTGCTAGTATGACCCTTCTCCCAGTCCCTTCTTCCCTGTTGAAGAAATTTCTGTTGAGTGTGTCACTTTTGCCCATAATCCTTGTGCTATGCCCAGTGTAATGGAAAATCCACTGGCTCAAGAATCAGGGAATTTGAGTTACAGGCTCAAGTCTGTCACTAACGGACAGTAAGGTAAACATTTTTGGACTTCAGATTCCTCACTTAAAAAAAAGTAAATACACTTATCCCACAGTATTATTGCAAAGATATGTGATAGTGAACAAGTCAGTTTCCTTCTGGAACAGTGGTTCTCAACCTTCCTAATGCCACGACCCTTTAATCCTCATGTTGTGGTGACCCCCAACCATAAAATTATTTTCGTTGCTACTTCATAACTGTAATTTTGCTACTGTTATGAATCGTAATGTAAATATCTGATATACAGGATGGTCTTAGGCGACCTGTGAAAGGGTCATTCGACCCCCAAAGGGGTCACGACCCACAGGTTGAGAACCGCTGTTCTAGAGATTAAGAATGAAGATTTGAGCCCAGCCTGTGTCGCTCAGTCGTTGAGCATTGAACCATGTACCAAGAGGTCACTGGTTCTATTCCCAGTCAGGGCACATGCCCAGGCTATGGGCTTGATCCCCAGTGAGGGGCATACAGGAGAAAGCCAATCAATATTGACGTTTCTCTCTCATTGATGTTTCTATCTATCTCCCCCTCTCCCTTCTTCTCTTTCTAAAATCAACAAAAACATATTAAAAATAAATAAAACTCATGAATTATTTAAAAAAATAATAATGATTTAAAAGAGCCTTTACTCCTCCTGAAAGAATACCTGATATACCTGAAATCTTTGTTGGTGACAGGAAATATGTCGATGGCAAAAGGTTTTACTGTCACCTCCCGGACAGGTCCTTCACCATCTCTGCCATCTGGTGAATTTGTTCCCATCTGGAATCTCCCACCAGGCAGCTTAACCATGCTTGTCACCTGTCCATTCCCTGTAGTGGAAAAAAAAAGAGTGTCATCAGTAATACATGAGTATGTAAAAAATAAGTGGCAATATTTGGATCATATGTAATACTCATAAAAATGAGTGTTCTTAAAAATAATGGAGGCTTAAAATTTTGGCTTTAAATTCTTGGTCTGGCCCTAGCTGGTTTGGCTCAGTGGATAAAGTCGCGGCCCTTGGACAGAAGGGTCCCGGGTTCAATTCTGGTCAAAGGCACATACCTTGGTTGTAGCCTTGATCACTGGCCCAAGTCAGGGTGCATGTGGGAGGCAACCATTCAATGTCTCTCTCACGTTGATGTTTCTCTCTCTGTCTCTCCTCCTCCCTTCCACGCTCTCTAAAAGTCAATGGAAAAAACATCCTTGGGCCCCAGCAGGTTTGGCTCAGTGAACAGAGCATTGGCCTGAGGAGTGAAGGGTGGCCTGTGAACTGAAAGGTCCCAGGTTCAATTCTGGTCCAGGGCACATGCCTGGTTTACGGGCTCAATCCCAAATAGGGGGTGTGCAGGAGGCAGCCAATCAATGATTCTCTCTCATCATTGATGTTTCTATACCTCCCTCTCCCCTTCTCTCTGTAATCAATGAAAATATATTGTAAAAAAAAAAAAATGACATCCTTGGGTGAGGATTAACAAAAAACAAAACAAAACCCATGCAATAAATTCCTGTTCTGCCACTTAATTTGCTGGGTGACCTTAGGCAAATTACTTAATCTTAATTTCAATTTCTTCATTTATAAAATGGGATAGCATCTATGTCATAGGCATAGCTGCATGAATTCAAATAACATGTAAAATGTTGAGCACATGGTAGGTTTATTTCCTTACCTTTCTATTCCTTTACACACAACCCTCTGTCCCAGCTAGGTAAATCTAGACACCATACCCTAAAATATATCTAGCACCTTTCTACCCATGCTTCTGCTCATGCTGTTTTTCGCTCTCTTCCTTCCCACTTGTTGAACTCTTATCAGTTCTTACCATTATATCATGTACTCCAGAAAAGAAAGGACTACCTCTATTTTGCCAGTGTATCCCTGGCACCTAGCACAAGTGCACAATAATTATCATCAAATCATTGAATGAGCTCCTTCATACTTGCTGTTTGTATGCCTCAAAAAATCAAATTAAAAGGATCTTTAATTTGACCACCTTATTTAACAGGAGGGAAATCAGGACCCAAAGAAGAAAGTTACTTAATGAAGCAAGCAGGAAAATCTCAGAATAAAATGGAATTAAGAAAAAACATACAATTGCAATGCACAAAGTTTATTTTGACACTAATTCAAGAAGTAAACTACAATTAAAAAACACAGTAGGTAAATCTGAACACTAACTGGATGTTAATTTTGTAGGCGGAAAATGGTATGGTTCTTTTTCGTGACTTGTCTTTTTGGCTATTCAAGCTGAGTTATTTACGAATAAAATTGTATAACGCCTGCACTCACTTCAGCATGATCCCAGAAGAGGGGAAAGTGGGTTACCAAAGAAGCAAGATTAGCCATAATTTGGCAGCTGTTAAACTGGGTGATGGGTACGTAGGGGGCACGTTTAGTTATAGTCTGTTCTTTACTTTATGCTTGAAAGATTCCAAAATAGTAAGTTAAAAGTAAAAAGGAAGTAAAATACAGTATGAGCTGTTGTTACCCTCGCCGGGCTGGCAGTCGCTGGGACGTGCCTCTGGCTGCTCCAAGCAGACTAGGACTAGGAAGTGGGCTAGGGGGCAAAGCGCTCCACCCTTTTCCTGATAGTCCCTGGGACAAAGGCGCTAGGGGTAAGTGGGCAGGCCAGCACACTGACCTATCTCGATCCACGGGCTGGACAGGAGCGACAGCAGGGTCAGCAGCAGTGAGGAGCTCATAGCACCGCAGCACCAGGAACTGGGTACACACGCCTAGTCGCTCTGCTGCGCATGCGCCCCACAGGTACTATGTCCCGGTGCACACTGCCCCCTGGCGCATCCTCTAGATATTGGCAACCCAAGGGCGTAATTAGTCCAGCCCAGGAAGGGGTGGGGTCAGGTTAAGAAAAAGCTATCTTCTCAGGGTTAATGTGAAGAGGCCCTAAAATTTCGGAATCCCCTTCATGATCCTGTGAACATTTGGACTAACTTCCTTCCCTTTTATATTCAACCCCTTTTGTGCCTTGGAATACCAATGCAAGATGACAGAAAAGGTTTCAAGTTAAACATTTATTGCACACTTACTGTAGCCAAGTCCTCAAAATACAAAACTTAGCAACACAATTTCACCTTCAAGGACTGTTCATTTACACCACCTGACCTGTATAAAAAATGATTTTTTGGAAACACGGTCAAATAATTTGAGGGGGCAGGGGGGAATGACACTGGTGGTTTTGGGATGGGTATTTCAGCATAAGTAAAGGTCCAGGGTGTGAAAATACAGTATGGTCTACCTGAAAATCTCTTCTCAACTAGGCCTGTCACCATGCCTTCAAGCCTCTTCAAACCTGTCTCCTCTATTTTAATTTTTGCATTTTATAAATGTGCAGCTTTCAACTCCCTTGCCTCTAGTTCACCCATCTTTCTACCCACTCCCACTTAACTTTCCTGGGGAGCATTTTAGCAAAGCTACTTCACATGAAATGTCCCACTAAAAGATCCAATCATTTTACTCACAGCAATTGATACTAAAGAAACAGGGATACTTTCAAAACCTGTTACTTGTTATTTATTAGCATAAAATTTTTAATCTTAAATGCTCAATAGGGAACTATTGGATAAATTAAAATACATCATTAGAAGAAATTATTAAACCATTAAAATTTGTTTTTCAAGGAATATTTAATAAGATAGATACCATATGCTTTTCTAATGTTTTTTTTTTAATGTCACAGAAACGAAAGCAAAATATTCTGTGCATATTGGGTGAAAACAGCCGGCCAGTTTTGCATACACTGAGTACAATTTAAAAAAAAATAGTGTAATTATAATTTCAGACTTTGGAATTTTAATAGGTAGTTGCCATTGCTCTCTCCTTTCTTCAGATGGGAAAAAATTCCTTTAAAAATCATTTGAAGCCAGGACAAAAATTCCATAGCTGTATTCTTAGGATCACTCTGTAGAGTCTTCATGATTCAGGTAGTACAGGGGGAGCTTCAATTCAACCTTTTAGAGAAGACATTCCAGCTCGCATGATCTCATCGACCAGGAGTATGTTGGTGGCAATCACAGTGCTGCAAAGGGGGGTAAAATCAGATGGCTCAGATTCCAGATATGAACCCTAATTCAACTCAATTTCCAACTAATCCATGCAAATTACATCCAATTAAATTTCCCTTTACCCCTCCATACATAAACGTTTCATTTTTGCACTTTTTCTTTTACATTTTAATGAGGGTGGGGGTGGGAGGAATTAAACAGAATATGCCAAATAAAAAGAGTGTAATTACCTAAAGGTTATTTTAGTTTTGACTTTCCCAAACTTACCAGGAGTGAAGAAGCTGTTTCTTTACACAATAGTTATCCCATACGCCTACTTCTGCTGCTACCATTGGCTCACCTGAAAAGTAATCCAGTAGTCTTAAAATCATATATAGCAGGTCGTAAGATCATTCTGATCTTACGATTCCTGTGCACAGTATCTTTGATAAATGACTGATCTCTGCTTAGAAGACTTGAGTGGCAGGAAAGCTCTATTCCGTTACCAAATATTGTAACATCTTGTTTTTCTGGACACATTTGTCCATATTAAATTACAGCACTTGAACTATAATCTGATCAAAATGGGATTATCATTTTCCTCATTCCAGAGCCCTTCTTATTAAATGTAAACAATGTTGCTGACAACAGGTCTTACATATTGACTGGATCTCAGTTCTCTTATATTGTACTTACATAATTTGTGTTCTTACACTGGCCTAAGACCATGGCTTTAAATATTTCATTATATTTGGTTCCCTCTTCCAGCATTATTTGCTACCCTTAGCCTTTTTCCATCAGTGAATATGATTATCTATTTTATATTTCCAATCACAGTCCCTGATAAAAAATTGAGTAAACCTAATATGAAGCTTTTCAATATCAAACTGAACCACCTACCACCACTCAGTAACATCAACAAATCCATACTCTTTGAAACTATTCAAATGTATATATTCGATTCCCTTAATTACTGTATCTAGTCATTCTGTTTTTATACTATATTTTAGAACCCAGAGTTCACTCATAGGATAATATTAAACTGCAAAGTAACTCCCCAAGATTCTTTTGATTCTTCTTGGCTTTACCTCACCTATATTATCGAGTTTTCCCCCTAAAATAGTTGCATTGTCTTACCCGTGTTCAAGTCCACACCCACAAGTTGACCTGATTCCGAATGTTCTGCTTGAACTTTAACTAGTGTTTCCTGAAGATCAAAACCAGAATTCTGAGCAAGAACCTAAAGGCAAGCAAATGTAATCCTTTAAAATACAGGACCTAAGAATTGATAGTCAAATGCACAATAAATAAATGGTATATCCATTAATAATCAATAGAAAATCATTATATCGATTGTAGTTTAAACAAAAAGCAAGCTTATACTCAAGTATATCCCTTATACACTGCAAACCCTCTTAAAATAGTTATCTCTTGCCACTTGAAACTTCAGATATTCAAGTTTCCTTTCTAGGGAAACCAAATACATTTGGATGTTCTAGTGCAGTGGTCGGCAAACTGCGGCTCACGAGCCACATGCGGCTCTTTGGCCTTTTGAGTGTGGCTCTTCCACAAAATACCACATGCGGGCACGCACATACAGTACAATCGAAATTTCGTGGCCCATACGCAGAAGTCGATATTTTGTGGAAGAGCCATACTCAAGGGACCAAAGAGCCCCGTGTGGCTCGCGAGCCGCAGTTTGACGACCACTGACCTAGTGTTAGGGAAAAAACTGATCAAACTTACTCAAAATCCACATTATGGAAAAAAAACCACATTATCAAAAAACTTTCACATTCATCAGCTGAAATCATTTTGTTCCGTTTTAGAAAATGGACTGTTACAAAAGTCAGACCTTGGGAATAATGAGCAATGCATCAGCAAACGCTTGAACTCCAAGCTGGGCCCTGCCCTTTACGCTGGGCTTGTATTTCACCAGGGCGTGTGACATTGCCACTTCCACTGCACCACCACCTGGAACTACACAGCCTGTTGGGTGGGTGGGGAAGGAAGGGGGAGAAGAGAGAAAATGCTCAGCTACAAAGAAAACTGTGGAATTATAAAACAAATTAAAACACACATACATGGCCCTGGCCAGTTTGGCTCAGTGGATAGAGCGTCTGCCTGTGGACTGAAGGGTCCCGGGTTCGAACATGCCCAGGTTGCGGGCTCGATCCCCAGTGGGGGGCATGTAGGAGGCAGCTGATCAATGATTCTCTCATCATCGATGTTTCTATCTCTCTCCCTCCGTCCCTCTTCCTTCACTGAAATCAGTAGAAAATATTTTTAAAAAATAAAACACACAAACATGAAGACCATTAATTTCTTAAAAATTCAGTGTGACAGCAATTTTAATATTGCATTTGAAAGCAACATATCAAATAACATGATCTGATTTAACTAGCACTTGGAAGCTCTTACAATCTCTTAACTTATTTATTTGTATCCACTTTTAGTAATGATATGCTATGAAAAAACTTGGCATACCATCATAGCCATTTTAAAGGGAAGACTACTTTTGCATGGTGTCTGGCTGTGTAAGCTACTGACAAAAACAACACAGTATTCAGCCATGCCTTACAAAATAGCAAAAAAGAATACACTGAGGATCTTAAATTAGAATAAAGTGAGGATCTTACCATCATCAATAGCATTTTTAACAGCCCTCAAGCCATCTCTTATTGCATCTTTGATTTGAGTAAGTGTGTGCTTATTTGGTCCTTTGACCAATAATGTAACAGAGCGAGGATTGTTACATTTCTCAACAAAGGTGAACTTCTCTTCCCCCTATGGAAAGAGAGTATTTTCAGAAAAACAGGACATAGCTGTACAAATGATCAGAGAAAAAATGATAAATGGCACATTCACAGAAAACACACTGAATCACATTCAAGTAATTTCTTAAACACACACACACACACACACACACACACACACACACACACACAAAGTCACGTAAGAGAAATGTGACTTTCCCATCTGAGTATCACTGCTACACATGGACCATCAAAATGTGTGTAAATAAAGCATAAATCTGATCCCAAGTTTGAATGAGTTTTTACTACTGAATTCATGAACCAAAAAGTATTACCTTTGGAAAGAAAATACACTTACCAATGTATACTCATAGACAAGTCCTGCATGTCCCAAACAATCAGGATTTAGGTCATCAAAAGAATTTAGAGCTACTCCACCACAAGCAAGAGTCAGCCTGAAATATTGAAGTATTTTAAGGAGATATAAGTAATTTTTATCAGTTATGTTTAAAGAAAAGATTATTTTTAGGAAGCAATCTTTCAGAATTACATACTAAAATTATGTTCTAAAATGTATTTTAACTTGTCCATTTATCACCAACCGGCTAAAAACTGGTCTTTTCTCCTAATCCTCCATTTAAACCACTTTCCCCAAGTCAGCAGATACTTCTCTGATATAATTTTTATTTTTTTAAATATATTTATTTATTGATTTCAGAGAGGAAGGGAGGAGAGAGAGAAAAACATCCATGATGAGAGAGACTCATTGATCGGCTGCCTCCTGCACACCCCCCACTGGGGATCAAGCCCGTAACCCAGGCATGTGCCCTTGGTTGGAATCAAAACCAGGACCCTTCAGTCTGCAGGCCAATGTTCCATCCACTGAGCCAAGCTGGCTAGGGCTCTGATATGATTTATTTATTTAAAAAAAATATATTTTATTGATTTTTTACAGAGAGGAAGGGAGAGGGATAGAGAGTTAGAAACATCGATGAGAGAGAAACATCAATCAGCTGCTTCCTGCACACTCCCTGCTGGGGATGTGCCCGCAACCAAGGTACATGCCCTTGACCGGAATCGAACCTGGGACCTTTGAGTCCGCAGGCTGACGCTCTATCCACTGAGCCAAACCGGTTTGGGCTGATTTTTAAAGATAAACAAAAGC